CCCGGCATGGCCAGGTGGTTAGGGCCCCAGCATGGACAGGTGGTTAGGGCGCTCGACTCGCAATCTGAGGGTTGCGGGTTCGAATCCCCGTCCCACCAAACATGCTCGCCCTTTCAGCCGTGGGGGCGTTATAATGTGACGGTCAATCCCACTATTCATTGGTAAAAGAGTAGCCCAAGAGTTGGCGGTGGGTGCTAAATTAGGGACGGCCTAGCGCAGATAGCCCTCGTGTGGCTTTGCTCGAAATTCAAACAAACAAACAAACAGTGCTGCCTGAAACACAATACTTGAAATATTAAATCAAACTAGCAGAAACGTCGCCCTACGGGCAGCTGTTTGTACTAGTAATTACTAATCATAGTATTCATACCTCATTGAAAAAAAAATGAGAAAAAGTGAACATTCTCTAGAAAAAAAATATTTTTTTCTGTGAAGTACTTCACGGGAAAAAGTGTTCGGATTGTGTTCTTTAGTTCATACCCAACTCATTGCATCAAAACGATTCAATGTACAGAGCTCAAAATGTTCATTATTTTTTCTGATATAAACTGTAATGTTTTTATATATTAAAAGTGGTACCGTTTATTGAAAAATAATAGTATTTTTAAGAACTCCACTTTCTCAGGGCTACATTTAAAAATTACATCAATAAAGATATAATCAAACCCTCACGTACAATCCTAATGAAAGTCGTGTTCTTATTGTGAAGAGTGTACTTTTATTTAAAATCGTGTTCTGTGATAAAGAAATGGTTGTTGCATGTACCACAGATATTTTTTCTAATTGTCTCAATCTTGAATACCTAAAGTGTGAATTATTTTATGAATTTGTGTTTGTGGTGCCATTCAATAGATGGCGCAAAGGTTTTGGTTACATACATAGATGCTGACATAGATGCTACGTCTATTATAGTAAGATGAAGCGACTCGGTTCAAACCAATTTCAAATTATGTCTCATCACAACTGTACATCTGATCTAAATTATACTTAAGTTTGTAAGTAATATTCAAAACATTAATCTCATAGAAGATTTAAAAACCAATTTCAATTTTCTCAAGTTCGGCTTATATTTATTAATCAAACATAGAGTGGATATAAGGACTGACCACTTACACTGGCCGTTACTACTGGGTTTTGTTCCCTTACAAATAGCCTCTCTGTTTCCGGATATTTTAATAATATCTGGACAATGGTACTTGATGACCACTTTAGCTTTGAAGTGTTTAATTTTCTACATTGTAAGAAGTTTTATTTAATCTTCCCCCACCCCCTAGGTGGCTCAGTGGTAAGTCTAGAGGCTAATAACGCTAAATATCGGATTTTTATGTTCTCGGTAGGCACAGCACAGATAGCCCATAGTGTAACTTTGTGTTTTTTCTATCAATATCGGTATTCAACATTGCGTATAACATACACGTAGCGTTTAAATCTCAAATACATCACAGTTATTTTTTATCCGTGTCTCGCGTTTCATTACGTGAGGTGAATTAGTCGATCTCCTTAAAATAATTTCTACAAATAAACCTAACTTATATCTGTTGTACTCTGATAAAATCGAAAGTCATAATATGGGTCTCCAGTGGTATAGGAAGGAGTTACAGATTTTACAATGAAAGATTGAAAGTATCAATGTAGGGGGTCTTGGGGCATGGTCCCAAGAAAATTAATATAATCTACAGTTGTTATATAAGTCCAATATGTAAAAGTGGGTGTGCTACAGCAGCCTCGGTTCCGACGCCTCTGGTCTCCTATAGATTTAAAGACCATTTCATTTCCCCAAGGTACCCTGCTGCCACAGTGTACACGTACACACTGGCTGCCAACGAGTGACATGACTTCCCTTACATCACAAAAATGATAGTTTTTATATAGCTCCGGGGACACCACACGATTGACCTTTCTCGATCTCTCGAACAGAAATATTATTCAAAATATTAGGGGGAGAGGCAAGAGATAGATAGGCCTTTTCAAACATTATAGGGGACCAGGCTCCCCAGTACCACTCCACTGCACAATTATAAGATTTTGTTTATTGTTGTGGATTTTCTAATATCTCGAAAAAGGACACCGTTATCTCCTCAAAGCATTAATTAGTTTTATGTTCATTACTGCGCACGCTATTTTAAACGTTCTCTTTACCAAAGTTTTATAGGGAAAAGGTCGACATTTGAAGTCTTCTGAAGTCACGTCAGTCAGCTGTTGGTTTTGCTCCTTACTCGTTAAGTGTATGTATATTTAATTAGTGTTTTTGCTTTAAAGCAATAATATATCATTATGGATGATTTCATGCTCAGTAAATACTTCGTGATTGTCATGTACACAATGCTTAAAGGAACAATAGCTTAGGTAAAGTAAATAGGGGTATTTTTTATTTAATTAAACAACATAATTGCACATGAACAATCTATCTACACTTGTACAGTATAAGTATTACATTTAAATAATCTTTAAAAACTGTTTGTATGTAAACTAAAAAAGAAAAAAAGAAGCCCTTAAAGCTGTTATTTTAGCTACCAACTCTTTTGGAAATAAATTGTTGAATCTTCGACTAATATTGAAAGAGTGTTTCAAAAATATGTGCTGATTTTGCTTTGTTTGAGACAGCTCATATAATAAACCTTGCTAGCATATGTTTAAGTAGACGCTAAAACAATGTATAGAATTAAACCTAAATAGTTCACCAGTTAATCATTGGCTTAAGAAACCATTTTTGTGTTTCAGGTAGTTGAAAATATTTTGTTTTTATTTTTCAATCTCGTTTGAACTGAGCACGTGCTGTGTATGAATAATAATTACTGAATCAGTTTGATGTTTATATTGATGACTTATAATGTCCTGACTTTGAAGTTGCTCTCAGGGCAACCATCTCTCCACGATATGTATTTTTACCTCTAGTAGCCCCTCAAACTGTATTAACCTTTGACTAAAACAGTGTCAAATTTATGTAAATAGTTTTGTTTTCTACTAAATTGGCTGTATGCATTTTTCTTACTTTATGCAAACTTTGACCTTTGATATCGAATAACTTCAAGACTCGTTTGACAACCGTGGCATATAAGCTATACTAAATGACTGCAACTAGTGATGGGAAGGAAACAGTTGTCATCAACCCTTTCTTCGCACCTTGATCAGATAGTTATATGTCAGAGGCCAAGTATTAGAAGGTTCCATGGTAAGGCTGAGCTCAATTCTGAGATATGGACGTAAAGCAATGTCGTAATTATTCCAACATTTCCTTAAAATATAAATATTTGTCTAACTGGTCTAAAAGATGCAATAGGGAGAATTCGGAGGTTTTTCCCTATAATAATAACATACCAGCTTTACGTACATTTAAGGTAATTATGTCCTGAGAAACTGCATATTTATAAATTCCAAAACGACCTCTCTCATAACCTTAAACCACAGCACTTATATTATTAACATGACAGAAAATAACTCTATAATCAAACACGCACTAAAGAGAAAAAAAAAATTGGCTCAGTTCATCAGCCTGTAAGTACAATCAGGCATGGCAAGATGAAGGAATACAAACACTTCATGACGTACAATTATCCTGAATAAAATCGAAAACAATTGATTTTCATGTACATATAGTTTTATTTTCTACTAGATTTGTTTGTGCATTTACTGCTTTACGTAAACGTTAAACCGTTATATCAGGTAATTCCAAAGAACAGCTCTGATAAGCAAGCTTCGAAATAACTGCAACCAACGACGTAAATGATACAGTTTTATATATATACATACACAAACATAACTATATGTATTATTCAAATGTATATACTATTGTGTTAGAAAGTAGACACGTATAAAAAATAGATATAGTTATAGAATAACGTTAGTATCATGCACATACATCAGTAGCAAAAGAAATATTTATAACTAGATACTTAAATTGTATCGTTTGATGTTAATGGGAGAATTTCGTTTACTAAGCAATAGTTAAATAGAGATAATTCGTATAATAATAAGTTACTAAAGACCACCTTTTGGTTCAGAGAGGATATTTTTTCATAGGTTTCAACCTTTATTAAACATCGATCTAGGGTGGATTTAAACAATAAGGAAATGAGCAATTTTATGGCTAGTACTGTGGATTATGCAAACATGATGGATTTAAACAACTAGAAAATGAAAACTTTTACGGTTAGTCCTGTGCTTATGCAAACTTTTAAGGCGACTGCAAATCAGAATTATTAACATATATATTAGCTTCCCACTTCCAGTTATATTTAAAGAATTTATATAAACACGCAGGAAATAAGAAACAAAAAAAAAACCTAATAACTTTAACCTTATGGAGTGTATTATGCATAAGACTAGCACATAACGCACGTAAAATTTCTGAGTGAGTTTCTCATTCTACAAATCAAAGCGCCAAATATATTTTTATTCGTATTTTATAACAGAATCTGCAGCAGCAAGACACAGTTAGTAGTCACGAATAACGTTGCATTTAAGATCTTTCAATTCAGTTTACAAAATCTCATAAAGTCGATGTTTTAGGTCTGAATTCTGCGTCCCTTTCTTCTGTAACCTTTGCTTAAAATCTTGGTATTCTACAGTTTGGAGCCTTTCCCTCACTTCGAACATAATGCTGCTAAAATTATATCTCAAAATGAATTTGTAACATTATTTACATCATTTACTAACATTTCTCTCACACTTCCTTTGCGATAAGCAAAGTTTGATAGTTTTGATGTCTTTGTGCTGTAGGACGGAGATTATGATAGCTTTGTGCCCTTGAATGGGAATTATAATAGCTTTAAGCCATGGGAAGCCAAATATATGACTTGTGCGCTCTGTGGGATGAAAATCTTTATATGTTGTTTTATTGTTGTTGCTTTTTATCTGGTATTTGCTTGTGTTTTACCACATTTCATAAAAATTATTCGAGGCCTTGAAGGTTATTTAATGCAGGAATTTGTTTCCTGAAAACCTATTTACAATAAGTTGGGGCGGAAGGGCAGTAGTATTGTTCATAGTTTAGTTCGTTAGGGCTCAAGTTGTTTTCCATAATATCACTTGGAAAATCTATTGCTACAGCTTCTTCGTATGTTGGAGGAGGTTCTTCAACCTGTGAGAAATATGAAAAGTGATATTAGTAATAAGTACGAAAAGTTTTGTACAAGCAAAATGTGTGTTTCGTACAAAATTTAACCCGTTAAACAAATTTCAGACTTTGTCTTTGTGGAGTTCTTGTTTTAAAAAAGCATAGAGGATACAATGAAATATTCTAATCGTGTAATCTATATAAAACCCAACAGACTCAGCGACGATTCACTCTCATTCTAAAGTTGCGCGTTGTCGAAACATCATCAACCTCGAAAAACCCACCGACAGGGTGTTGACACATCCCTCAAACTCTCGTTGTGATCTGTAAAAATGTGACGAAAGGGGGCGATTTACTTCGACTGTACTTGCATCAGCACGTCCATTTAGTTTTAACGTAAACCAATAGTCTTGCGAAAGCATGGCAAAACGTAGATACCGAGCTTAACAGTTATCATCGTTACACTTAAAATTGTATGAATTCATAATAAAACGAGGAACTGTTTAAAATATACATAGGCTAGATAATTTTAAATAAAGCAGTTTTGCTAGTTTTTGTGAGCTGTATAATTTTCACATAAAACAGGCAAAAAAAAAGAAACGTTATTACTGATTTAGAAGGGGACTGTTTTATATAAAACTGACTTAACGGCTCCTGGAAACTAAATTGTTTTACCTAAGATACATTTAGTGGTTCGTGTGATCTGGATTGTTTTACATAAGACATATTTTCTGATTCGTATGATCTGAAATATTTTACATAATATAGGCTTCTTGGTTCATGTGATCTGGATTGTTTTACATAACATATATTTACTGGTTCGTGGGATCTGTACAGTTTTACGTAATATAGACTTACTGGTTCGTGTGAATTGAACTGTTCTTACACAATATAGACTCACTGGGTGAACTGAACTGTTTTACATAATATATACCTACTGGATGAGCTGAACTGTTTTACACGAAAATAGATTTACTGGATGAACTGAACTGTTTTACATAGTATATATTTACTGGATGAACTGAACTGTTTTACATAGTATAGATTTACTGGATGAGCTGAACCGTTTTACACAAAAATAGATTTACTGGATGAACTGAACTGTTTTACATAGTACAGACTTACTGGATGAACTGAACTGTTTTACATAGTATAGATTTACTGGATGAGCTGAACTGTTTTACACAAAAATAGATTTACTGGATGAACTAAACTGTTTTACATAGTATAGACTTACTGAATGAACTGAACTGTTTTACATAGTATAGACTTACTGGATGAACTGAACTGGTTTACATAGTATAAACTTACTGGTTCGTGTGAACGAGACTGTTCCATACGTCCAAGGACTGTCTTACCACAGCAGCTTAACTCTGAGGTCTGGATGTTTCTCTTTTTCCTATAAATAAGATACAGTTAGTTTTCGTATTTTAGTATATGTGTTATAAAATAAAATACTCATTTTGAAAAATCTAAGTAATAATATTAGTTGATTTAGTTCTTCGGAAAATATGTAGCAAAATTGATAATTAATTTGATAGATCTAAACCACTTTGTTTTTAAACAATAAAAACAAAGATGAATTTTCTGGACTTTGATTAGTATCCAGTAGACTCTCTTATAAGGTTTTTGCAAGCGTTAAATTATTGATTTTTTAATAAAATTGTTTGGATACATATATGTCGTATTATGTGATTACTTTAATCAGAGTACGATGCTAATTATCCCATTATAAATAAGGCATAGATTGTGCTGATAGGATAACATTTCTAGAATCCATATTTATACGACCATCTGTTATGTATAGAAGTTGAGTACGTCATACTAAAACGACTTTCGAGCCTCATTGCGTCGTTACAGTCCATGTCGCCACATCCAGTCATACTCCGTCTGACGATCATGTATCTTGACAATTCATCTTGAAGCATAGTTTCCGCTCAGTTTTAAAGTTGTCAACTTCAAAGCAAGCCCCCTCCCTGCATCTTTCGATAATCTATCTAGCGTGTGAGGACGAGACTTTCCAGCACCAGTTTCAAAAGTTCGATTGCACAGAAATCCATAAGCCATTTTACCAATATGTCTTCATATTGAGTAGCACGTATATCCGTCTCATTCTCTGGTTGCATGGGGTTTGCAACGGAAGCAAATTATGTACATGTGACTTGTGGCACTTTTCCAAATGGTCAACCTTGTTGATTATGTTGTATGCTGTTGCCTGGGGCACATGAACAGTTTTTGCAACTGACCTTTACGTTCATGGATTCTTAGTTGTTACAAGACTATATTATGTTTACCACGACTGGGGTAGGATTTGTTGCAGGTCTTTATATGGATAGTCCTGGGACCACAAATTGATCCATATTATTTTGTTTTCCAATACCATTAAGTATAAGGGATGTCTCCGTCTTGGAAATTATAAATATTATATTTGAACACACCTTTATGATCTGAGTGTATGAATACTTTACGTCAGCTGTTAGATATCCTTTCCCAAAGCGATCAGTTTTAGGTGGCATTACACCATCTACAAAAGTCCAATGTTGAAATGTAGTTCAGAGATATACCATTCCACAGAGACTTTATATCGGTCGTAATTTCATGTGACGTTATGTACTACATATTTTGATCATTTTAATATAACTTACTCAACTTTGTATTCCCATAATAAAAGACATGTGGTATGTGTATGTTTATAGGGTGAGAATGAATTATAAGAGTTATAAATTGCTTCAGAATAATTATTACGTATTTGCTTTACTAGAAAATAAATTAATTTAATCTAAAAATAGTCATGTACATAACTTTTTCACAATAACACGAGAAAAAATATGAAATTGTTGACAAAGCGGGAACCCTGACCTTGTGTAACGATTTGACCTTAGCTGTAATAAAAGTCAGTTCTTTTTTGGGGGGGGGGGTTAAATTCAATATACGTCTAAAAATGTAATGGAAGATTGAACCTCAAACTTTACCATTTCAATATTTAGCGTGTGTTTATCGTATCTGGATTTTTATTTCTAGATATTTTAGTCGAGTTCATCAACACTCAATGCTTGGATTCATTTCTAACTAAATTAAAGGTACTAGTTGGAGAAAACGTCAACGTACCGTTTAATTCTACAAAACAAGAAAATTATCCCGATGGTCAGTCCAAAGGCCATAATAATAAGAATTATGAACATAATAACATACGACTGAACATTGTCCTCACCTGAAAAACAAAGAAAATACACGATTAAAACAAAGAAAATCGATCCAAATAATCCTTCAGATACAAATTGTATGCATATCGGAATAACAAATTCAATAAGTAACATTCTGTTAATGTCGTGTTAAATTTATCTTTAATATTTCACGCTTCTCACTTGTTATATTATCGTTGTTAATGAACTTGGCCCGGCATGGCCAGATGGTTAGGGCGCTCGACTCGTAATCTGCTGGTCGCGGGTTCGAATCCCCGTCCCACCAAACATGCTCGCTCTTTCAACCGTGGGAGCGTTATAATGTGACGATGAATCCCACTATTCGTTGGTAAAAGAGTAGTCCAAGTGTTGACGATGGTTGGTGATAACTAGCTGCTTTCCTTAGCTGTCTACGCTGCTAAATTAGGGACGGCTAGCGCAGATAGCCCTGGTGTAGCTTTGCGCGAAATTCAAAACAAACAAACGTTGATGAACTTATGTATAGTTTACGTTCGCTTTCTTATTTCGCTTTTGTTCTATGGAACGTAACTATTTTGATTAATTCAATTCAACCTTTTTTATTTCCAAAAGAAGGGAAAATATTATTTTCAAACTGTTTAACTTCTAAGTGAAAAAGTATTTTAATTTAGCGAAACTATATGAAAGGAATGTCATCACAAATATTCATGTCAAGGTTTTAATATGAAGTAAAAAATTTTTAAATCATTTATGTAATACATATTTAGCTTGTTACTAGTCGTATTTGGCCAAGATGCTTTAGGCTTGTAAAAGGTTTTGAAGAAGGTATACAGGGCGGGGCAAAAGTGTCTGTACAGTTCTTGCATTTATAACACAGTTTAATTTCTAACTATAACACCGAAAAAAAAATTAATTCGTTTCGGTTGTCTTCGTAATATTTTGTTAGTATCACTAGTGATTTTTGTCCTACCCTATATACTTCATTTCCCTTTTTGTAGTTTACATCAAGCACTTTTTTTCACAATCTTTGTATGTACGGTTTTTGGTACTTAAGTTTCACATTTAGTTGTACCTAGATTAATTTTTCCATCTTGACTGCATACACGAGTTCTGATTTTTCTGGTAGAAAAGTTTTAGTCGTTTATTTGTGATAGGTCTTTAAATGTTTTTGAGTTTCTATACAGTAAAATAATACTGAACGAAGCGATCCGCGAAATTTGGGGATCGGAATTAGCAAGTATTCAGTTGTTCTCAAATTTGGAACCACTGGTGTAGATAACCTGGGATGCCTGAGCAAATGAATAGAATAAATACTGTTTGTCGATCTTTGTAAACAACAAAAAAAAAAAAGAAGACTAATTTTATAGATGGATAACAAGTATACATGTTGGAATTGAGCCTACCTATTTAGATTACTGTGATTCCAATTACATTTGAAGGGGGGCTTACTTAGAAGGAAGAAGGCCTTGTCCAGTTAGAGCTAATAATAGTACCTTTATCAAACTACATTACAGAATTTAGTAAGAATTTTAAACATCTATCAGTGACTTATACGGAAGATAGTTCTCCACATACAGAACTGGCTATAACGTAGACAAAGTCTGACAACAAGGTTCTGAACCGCACAAAATCAATATAATAATGGTTATCACTACCCTCATCGCTAATGTTATTGGCTTTTTTTCTCTTCTTTGTAATATTTTCAACTTGTTCTCCTCATAGATTTATAAAAATACTAACCCTGTTTTTTATTTTATAAATATTTAGTTATTATTAGATAAATATAACTGTTTATTGTTTAAAACACTTAGTAAAACAACAGTTGGTATTTTAAAGAGAGAGGATAAAATAACCAATTATATAACACTTCACATTTCAGAAGAAAGGATAAAATTATCAGTCAAATAACAGTCGACATTTCACGAAAAACGGATAAAAGAATCAGTAAAACAACAGTTGACATTTTACGAAGAAATGAAAAATAATCAGTATAACAACAGTCGACATTTCACGAAAAAAGGGATAAAAGAATCAGTAAAACAACAGTTGACATTTTACGAAGAAATGAAAAATAATCAGTATAACAACAGTCGACATTTCACGAAAAAAGGATAAAAGAATCAGTAAAACAACAGTTGACATTTCACTGAGAAAGGATAAAATACTGAATAAAAAAACAGTTGACATTCCTCAATGTAAGTGTCCCAACTCACCTTTGCACGAATTATTTAATGTGTCAAAAATATATCCCGGCTTACATTCACATATACTTCCCTTTTTTCTTGAACAAAACGTATTACGATCGCTCTTTTCGCATTCAATAGAAGAGATACAGCCCTGCCTTCTATGAATAGCTGAAAGTAAAAGGAAAAAAATAAGCTCGAAAGTTCATTCCGTCCGTGGTTTATCGTTAATAACGTGGCTTTGTTCAGAACAATATGCTTATGTAACAACGATTCTAGTTGAATGATCTTATCAAAAATAAATCATTAAATTATACAAGTGGAAAAATATTTAAAAACAATTGAAAGCGTAGAAATTTGGTGAGCCAAAAGTGAAGAAACAAGGTAGGAATGGACATGGTGTAATAAAACTTCTTCTGTGCAACCTCACAAGGGGGCGTGTCCAACATTCGGTCCATACCTACTTCGTATATTGTTTCTATCTTGTATACAATAAGCAATGTGGACTAAATTTATCAAGCTTGGTTATGCTTATTGTACAATAACTAGAGGTTTCTGTGAATCGAATTATTGGAGGCAATACAGGTACAACAAAGCATGTTTATACGACAGTAGAAGAATCAGATATTCGCGTGGACCCATAACTTACATGTTTTTTTTTTCTTTACAGCTTGCCCACTCCTCTTGTAATTGCATGCGAAAAAAACATGATTTTGTACATTAACTAAATAGTTGGATTAAAATACAAAGATATAAAATCTTAAGCGGTGTCTGTATATTAACGTCATGAATTCTTTAATGTCTATGACAAAAGTAGAAGAAACATAGACACGCTTTTGTATGTACCCATAAGCTGTACAATATCATGAACACAGAAAAACACATCAGGCATGGACCTGATGTTGGACACGCCCTCTTGTGAGTTTGTACAGAGAAACTTTCATTACATTGTGCCCATTCCTACCTTGTTACCTCACTTTTTGGTATACCCTTTCTTACACTTTCATTTTGTAAAATATTTCTTCCACTTGCTCGTGCACTTTATTTCATACAAGGTAATGTGATCTTATGCATCATTCATTAATTCTTGTTGATATCTTGTATGTTTTATTTGAACACGACTACTCAGTATAAGGAGTGAGCGAGTGGGCATATGTATTTTGAAATGGCGTCCCTGTTCAATGTATTACCTGATGTATATTAAGTAGTTCTTCTTTTTGGTGATGTTTAGTATAGAAAAACGCTAGTACTAGCACGTCGTCCCTGTGCTAATGTTCTATTTAGTGCACTTACAACTATGGTAAGTCTGTTTGTTACACAGCTAGAAGCATTGAACAATGTCAGTCAATCAGTGAGACTGAAACATGTGTGGTATTGTGGATTTTTTTCTATCTGCTCTGCTATTTTCCCAAGCGGTTGTATAACTTGTAGTTTTGTCTATGGTTTTTTTATCACTTAAGGGTGTCTCTCAAATGCTTTTGAAGTTTTGTTATTTTGTTGTTAAAGGTGTATATGAGTAAATAGTTTGTATTGCATGTAATGTGTAAGCGCCCCATTCCTACTATAAGTACTACCATACTTATGAAAATATTCTAATGTAATGACCCTTTTCCCAACAATATTTGATATGTAAGAGTAGTACCAAATCAATGACCTTGTTCACAATATTATCTTTATGTAAACCATAATCTAAGTGTAATAACCATTCTCAGAACAATATATTTATGAAAACAATGATTTCAATGTAATGACGTCATTCAAAAAAGCATTTTTATGCAAGTAACGATTTCAGTGCTACGACTTTGTTCGTAGCATTATCTATATGTAAACAACAATTTCAACAATTTCGCAAGCTGAGGGTCGCGCGTTCGAATCCCCGTCCCACCAAACATACTTGCCCTTTCTGCCGTGAGGGGGTTATAATGTGACAGTCAATCCCACTATTCGTTGGTTAAGGAGTAGCCCAAGAATTGGCGGTGGGTGGTGATGACTAGCTGCCTTCCCTCTTGTCTTTCACTGCTAAATTAGGGACGTCTAACGCAGATATCCCCCGTGTAGCTTTGCGCGAAATTCAAACCAAACCGACTCAGAAACAATTTTATTTCTGTTCCTTACAACTATTTACGTATTTCAAAGTCAGTGGCCTCAATAAGACAACGTTATCAGCAGGTGTTCTCAGATCACTGTACCAGGCAACTCCACTATCAGCAAGTGTCTCTGGACCGTTGGACCTCATAACTACCTTATCAGCAGATGTCTCCAGACCACTGGTCCTGATAACTTTGTTATCAGTAGGTGTTCCCAGACCACTGGAAATGTAAATTTCGTCATCAGTAGATGTTTTCAGATGGTTGGACCTGGCAACATTTGAGTCAGAACAAATCGTTCAATTTAAAACAGTTCATATCATACCCAAATGTTATTGGTATTCCGGACAAGTTAAATGAAATAAATAATGTCAATAATAGTGGTGTAATAATCTGTCTGTAGAGTATATCTAAAGAAAGCTAGCCTCATGCCGATAATGCTTCAGTTCATTTTGTTTTTGTTTTTTCATCAAAGGGAAAAAAATCTACTAAAAAACAGCTAACGATAGATAAATGACAAGAGGGCACATGTTTAATATCCGAAAAAAACAGGCTAGGCTTCAGTAAAAATAAATTTTTAATAATAGGTTGAATGACTTATGAAGTTAGTTAGCATCAGCAATAGTAGAGACTAACAGTTTACAAGAGTTTAAGAGGGGACTCGATGACGTGCTGAAAAATAAAAGATAGGCTTAATTTTTTATTTTTATAAAGAGGAGATATATATTTGTATTTCACTGAGCCTCTGGTATCATCGCATTAAAAACCCAAAAGAAACAGTGTATATTATAGGATACCTGCTACTAACAGCGAGTTTATTTTTTAACATTTTTATCTAACTTAAAATTTTGAATATTGTGAAAAATGTTCCTCAAACTTATCTAGTTGTAGCTGTCTTCTATGAGAATTACAACGCTAGAAACCGAGTTTCGATACCCGTGGTGCGCAGAGCACAGTTAGCCCGTTGTGTAGCTTTGTGCTTAGTTACAAACAAAGAACATTTTATGAGAAAAATATGTACAAACATTATTTCTATACTTGCCATAAGATATTAGAATTAGTTCTATTCTATTTGCCCCCTGGTGGCTCACAGCTTACAATGCTAAAATTTGGGTTTTGATATACGCGCTGGGCAGCGCACAGATAGCCCAATATGTAGCTTTGTGCTTAATAAAAACAAGACTATTATATTTTTAAACACTACTTTCGTTATCTAGTCTCTTAGGAATTTTTACAATTAAAAAAGTGTATGATAATAGTTTTCCAACCATATTTGTCATATTCATTGCCAACGAAACGTTTGAACTCAATCCAAAGCTCTTAAGGCCGGCTAAAATACAACAAATACATTAGTGATCCGAACAGTATTTATATAAGCCATTTGACACTATAACAATTGTTATGATGTGAATGTCTTTTACAAGTTGGCGAAGCGTGATCATAATTATACTTCTAAAAGTACGTATATATAGTCAATCATTATCTTTAAATATAATAATCAAATGTCTGTCTGTACTACCCTGTATCTCCTGAACCGTTAATCGTAGAAAAATTACATATCAAAATTCTTATTGTCAAGAGTACATTACATGAAAATTATATATTTGTTTACAATTCCTAAAACTTCTTATCCATATCAACGTCAATCTCCCAGTCTTCATATGTTCTGAACAGTCAATCTGAAGAAAAAATTATTAAGAACAAAAATGTTTCATTTTGTGAGGGAATTTCGCGGAAAAAACAAAACAAAAACGGGACTTCCTCCATAGACTGATTGAAAGAAATATTTCGAAGATAGGAGTATGAACGGAAAAAACGCATTAAAAGAGAGGAACGTGTTTAAGAATATATTTGTTGTTGTTTGATTTATATAAACTTTTTGTTTTTCATTTCGGTATTATATACATGCATGATTTTATTGTACCATGTCGAATAAAGTGATTTCAGTTGAATTGAATATCTCCCCTTTGACACTTCTTATAAAAATGACAATTGTCAAAAATCTGTTCCTTTGATAGCGTTATTTTCTTGCGCTCAGTAAATTGACAAGGAACGGTGGCATCCAGCAGAAAAGATCCCCGCGCCTACTTAGCAAACCTGAGCGCTTTATTGTACTGAATGCTCTCATTGCACCGAAACCCAAACATTTTTGCCAATAATGTATTGCAGTCAGTCTTCCTTGCTTAAAAACAAACGCAATACAATTTATTTTATTGAAATAACACATGGTATAACAAAAGACGGTTGGAAAAAATCATATTGCATATACCTTCTGATCCAAGGAACGATGTTGATTGCACATCTTATATTTATTCATCACTATTTGTAGGAAAATTATCTTTGAATTGTTTCTATGAGCATCTACTAGTTTATCTATAAAGGTTATGAAGGTGACGTCATGCACTGGGCCGGCTTTGTTTATTCCACCATATTGGACAGAACAAACTAGTGAAATAACGGTGAACCTAGCAGTTAAATACTTAAAACTGAATCGTGTAATAATGCCAGTTGGTTATGTTGCTATTGGTTGTACAAACTGCAGGTCTGACATTTGGTTATCTTTGATGATGTCTCCATGTAGAATAAATATGGCTGCTACATGGCAACAATATTTTCCTAGTCTTGCTATACACGTGTATTGTGCAGTCAAGACCTAGTCTTCTAATTGGACTATAACCCATACACTCAAAGGACTGTTGGACAGTCGTTGTGAATGACATACCTACAAACATATTCGTATTGTATTAAAAGTATTTTCTTTCACGCAATGAAAATATCATGAATATTGTTACGTCTCCGTTTGTTAATTAACTTTCCGTAACTTAGTTCCGACGAAACTTTAGCGACACAAGTCCTTACTTAATAAAA